TCTCTCTCTCTTTCTAGGTGTTGGGCTGGATTCGTAATGGCGAGTCCATGTTGAATGCCAGCATGGTGAATGCCAGCTCTCTGTCTGAGGCCGAGCAGCTGCAGAGGGAACATGAACAGTTCCAGATGGCTATAGAGGTACACACTCTCTCACACACACGTCCTAATTATTGCTGCTCAAACCAGGCTTTCTGTACTTATAGTAATAATTATTTCAGTGTGCATTGGTTTGAATAGTAGCAGATGGGTGCGCACACTGATACACACACTCTCTCTTTGTCATCTGTGTGTGTATGTGTTTACCAGGCTTGCCTAATAATTATTTCAATTTCAATAATTATTTCATTCTGCATTGATTTTGAAGAGAAACAGATGCTAACACACACACACACATACACACACATTGAAATGCTGAACTGCATGTAAGAGCTATCTCTGCCCACGTGTGTTTGAATGTGTATATGTGTGTGTGTTTGTGCGTGTACTCCGTGCATTGCTTTAAATAGCTGACTCCAGAAGTGTGTTAGCACTCACAGGAGTAAAAGCCCCTTGGTCAGCACTGTACACACACACACACATACACACACATAAACACAAACACATCGCTCTGGCCCACACCCAACATGTGTGTTCTGGCCTGGTTTCTGCTCTGATTAGTGTGTGTGTGTGTGTGTGTGTGTGTGTGTGTCCTGCATTCTCCATCAGACTGATGTAATACTGTCTTGGCAAATAGCTTAAATACACACAGACACACACATATACAAATAATGAAATTCCCACATTGGACCACCTTTTTGTTTGAGTCTGCTCTTCTTGAGTTACGAGACAGTTCTCAATAGAGAGCCAGAGTGTTGACTGTAGGAAAACATGGATGCAGACTGTGACGTAACCTTTAAAGTATGATTTAGCTCTCGCAGCCATTTTTGGCAGTAATTACATTTGGGCAAAGGAGACGGAGCCTGCTTGGAGCTGGGATGGGATAAGTAACACATCTTACTTAGATAGGCTTAGACAGCTGTCAATCAAGAAAACACAGCCCCAAAACACATTTCAATGTGAGTCTTAATATAGTCTTTAAGTAATACCCATCCCAAAATAAAAGAACGGTAGATTTTAGATATTAAGACTATAAATCCTCGACAAAACATATTGCATTTGTAATTTAAGACAAAATTGGGAATAGACTGGATCTGATTCCAGCTTCCATTAAGGTAATTGCATATGTCCTCAACATAAAGGCGTGACGGTAGCTGGTTGGTGCAGACTTCTGCCATAATCTGATCAATCTCAGAGGGGCAACCTCTGGGGGCAACCGCCAATGTTTCAGGGCTTCCAGAAACCAGATAAGAGATAAGACTTCCTCTGCAGTCCGATTAGCAATTTAATACATGAGAATGACAAGAAAGGGCACCCAGTTAGCTCACCTGGTAGAGCTGGCAACCATGTACCGAGTCAATGCTGCAGCAACCCAGGGTTCGAATCCAACCTGTGGCCCTTTGCTGCGTGTCATCCCCTCCCTCTACCCCTCTTTTCCTGTTTGTTTTCAGCTGTTGCTATCAATTAAAGGCAATAAAAGACCAAAATATCTGCATGTGAATGCTGATACATTTTTAAGATAGCTAATAAAAACCTAAATCATCGTCAGATGGATTCTGGGATTGCATTCCGCCTTGTTTACTCTCCACACGGACTGTTTACCTGCGTGCAGCCAAAGCCTGCTCAAATGTGATTGGTCAATACTATTTGGACTGCAAACGTAATTGCCAGATTCTGCATTCATATGCAGGTGTCAGTTTATAGAGGATGATGGTGATCTAACTACTGATGTCAGCTGATAAATCTGCAAAATGACATTAGCAGTACCTACTGTACACTTTCTTGTCTGTTCACACGCATTGTGTGTGTGTCCAAGAAACTTGCTCAATATATTTCCCTCCTCATAAAGTTTGCACAGCTGATTGTTGTTGAAAGTTTGAAACCTACAGTGTTTACATCCATGTTTACTAGCTGGCAGTCTTCTTCACTACCTTTGTAGTAGCGAATTAGGGTATTACTTGACACGCTACTGGGAGTCACAGATAAAAACATAGATTACTCACGCATGATTATAGCAGTTAATAGTGGTCAAAAACCCCTCAGGGAAGCTTTTAAAATTGAGCTGAACTAATGAGTCAGTGATTTTAATTGATAGTAACTAACTCTCATCCTCTTCCTCCTCCAGTCTCTCTTCCATGCTAACTCTCTCCAGAAGACTCATCAGAGTGCTCTGCAGGTCCAGCAAAAGGCTGAGGTAAATCCATGTTTCTTACAACTGTTCCTTTATTGTTTACTTTAGTAGATTGTAGCACACTTGTAAGACTTACTTTGAATAAGTGAGACACTATATATCTTGTCTTATCCTGAATTCTGTAATTCTACATTCCTGGGTCCAGGAGCTATTGCAGGCTGTACATCATGACCATATTACCCTCCACCTCTCTCCACCTCCTCCTCTCTTCCAGATGGTGCTACAGGCAGGTCACTATGATCCAGAGGCAATCCGAAGCTGTGCTGAGAAAGTGGCTGTTCACTGGCAGCAGCTGATGCTGAAGATGGAGGACCGCCTAAAGCTCGTCAATGCCTCTGTGGCCTTCTACAAGACGTCTGAACAGGTACACCTCAACACACACACACATTCACAGAATTTGCTTTCCCTAAGCTTGGATCTTGGAACGCTGTCCTGGTGTCACTGACCCTTTGTGTCTGTGCAGGTGTGCAGCGTGTTAGAGAGCCTGGAGCAAGAGTATCGGCGGGATGAAGACTGGTGTGGCAGCCATGATAAACTGGGAATGTCGGGCGACAGCGACCACCTTCTACCTCTGATCAGTAAACACCTGGAGCAGAAAGAAGCCTTCCTCAAGGTGACTCTCCTCTCATTGTCCCACATCAGAGAACAGGCAAACACACAAAATCAGAAGAAGTGAAAAATCAAATTGTTTTGATTTGTTTGAAAAAAGATTTTTTTTAGCACTGAATGATAGACAGTGAGGCAGAATAAAGTATAGAACAGAATATAAAATGGCATCACAAACCATTTTACCTATAAATTTAGATTATGTTTCTAAATATGTAACTTAATGAACTTAATGAAGGATTTTACTTATTTTAGGAGAGGTAAGATGCAAGACAGTGAAATAATAGATATAACATCACCATTAGATCCATCATTTAGACAGGCTCTGCTCTAGGGATCTGACCAAAATTAAAAAGTCAAATTACTTTGAAGGTCTCTGTTGGACACTTTGGAGTTTCATTAGCATTTCAGAAAATCTGCAAATGACTTTGGTTGATGGATACATATTGAATGAATCTTAATTAATGACAATGTTTGACACTAGCCTGAATGAACAGCACATGAGAAATGCACATAACAGATCAGGTGTAAAAGTACCAGTAAAATGTTGAAGAAAGTGTTTGAATTGTCCCTGTGCTCCAGGCATGCACCCTGGCCCGGAGGAACGCTGAGGTGTTTCTGAAGTACATCCACAGGAACAATGTGAGCATGCCTGGAGCCACCAGTCATGCCAGAGGGCCCGAACAACAGGTCAAAGGTCAGTGTACACCAACACTACTACTGCTTATCGCACAAAAAGTCCTGCAACTTAAAGCTAGTATCAATCACTATTCACTCAAACAAGATATTTATATAAATCTGATTATGATAGACCTAATCAATAACACAGATAACATAAACTCACACAAATATTCAAGATGGACAAATTATTTAGGATGGAGAATGTGTGTATTATGTTGTAATGTACCTAACCCAAGTGTGCAGCTGAGTTTGAAAACTTGAAAACAGCACATTTTGGGATTTGTGAGAAAGTGTGTATTTAACGTAATTTGTGTGTTTTTGTGTCCAGCCATTCTGAATGAGCTGCTGCAGAGAGAAAACAGAGTCCTTCACTTCTGGACACTAAAGAAACGAAGGCTGGACCAGTGTCAGCAGTACCTGGTGTTTGAACGCAGTGCCAAACAGGT